GGTCTAAGAAGATTGAACAGGGGCAACTGTTGTACCCCAAAATTTTCCCTCCCATATTCTTCAAGAATGGCAAAGAGCATGCTTCAAAATCTCCCCAAGGGTTGCACAATCCAATTGCCTCCTAACAGTTAAAATTAGGGTTTTGGTGCTGGCAAAGAAATTGAAGTTTCCAAGGGTCCAAAAAAGTCCCACATTCCTATAAACATTGTCAAGCATCCTTATGCCAAGTTTCAAGACTCACATCATCAATTTGCACAGTCAAAAGCCTCAGTTGACTCACAGTCAACTACAAGGGCAAAATGGTCATTTTGCAGTCAAAAGTCAGAATTTTTGGTCAACACCTCATTTTGAAGCCACAAACATCACTTGATCAATTCTTGATCATGATTCTCAAAGCATGGCTCAAAAAGTCTCAAGATGCAAAAGTTTCCATATTTGGACAGTTGAAAAAGTCAACTGTAACTTGACCAAGGCATAACTTCCACATGGTTCATCAGAAAAATTCCATCCAAAGCTCATTTTGAAGAGAAAGACATTTCCTACAACTCCTCTTCACACTTCAAGTCCAAGAAATGCTCTCACAAAAAGTTATCAATTTCAACATTATAGGTCATTTTCAAAAGTCAACAAAAAGGGACTTTAAGTCAAAGACCATAACTTTAGATTGGTAAATCAAAATGACATGGGACCAAAGGAATTGGTTAGAGGACTTCAAGACCTTTCCAAAATGTCCAAGAACATGATCAAAGCTTAAAAATTGAGCAAGATATGCCTTGTGGAAGTTGGGAAATTTTTGGGAATTTTGAAAAGTCAACTTTACTTCAAATGCCTCAAAATTGCTAATGGGCCACATTTTCTTCCAAGATTCATCATCCAAAGGCTATGCACGACCATTTGGCCCAAAGGGGATTTATTTCATCATTTTTATTATTTTATTTGAATTTTTAATTACTATTAATTCATTTAATAAAATAAAATATGGAAAAAATACCAAACAAATGCATTTGAATCTTTTTATGCAGCCTATGCTCTCATTGGCTACTCAAGATTTCGTGCACTTCAAAAAAGGGAAGATTTGGTGCAAATTGGCATGATATTCATGTGGAAAAGATTTGAAAATATGCCATTAAAATCAAATATTTCTTTCATCAATGCATTGATCTTTTGGCTCAAAATTCAACCCTAATCCATCCCATACATAAGTCAGATGCAAGACCTAATGCAAAAACCTGGAAGCTGCGCCTCACATCAAGAACAACTTTGGCATTTTTGTGAAAAAAATTGAAAACTAAAAACACCATTCCAAAGAGTTTCAAGGCAAGAGAACAATCCCATTGCATTCCTGAGGCCTCAAGGAACGTTTCTGGATCAAAACCATTTCTTCTAACGCGAGGAATTGGTAGGACGAACCCGTCCTGTTCATAACTTTTTTCATGTTCATGTCTCATGATTCATGCGTTATTTTCAATTTCTAATGCTTGATTTATATTAAGTTAATCATTCTAAAGCTAACCATGCCATTTAATTGAGTTTTCATGCTTTGTACGTAAATCTGCCATGGAAGCTTGCTAGGTTTTCAAGGTTGTGAAATTAGGGCTTCCTTGTTCTGGAAAAATTGAGACACGAAACCAAGGCCATTAAAACCAGAAGCTTCACACGAATTGATTGTACTAGTCGCGCTCAATTTATGAGCCACCATATGCTAATCGCTATTATTCTATTTATCACTTAGTGGGGGTTTAAAACCCCCGCTATTCAGTTTGTTTTTTTTCCAGGCAAAGCAAACAATTGGAGAAGAAGGTGAGGTGTAAGTCAGTGGTTGGTGCGTTTGAATTTCGCGCGAAAAAATACCACTAATCTTTGTTTCACGTTATGTTGTTTATTTGTCATATTATATACAAAGCGCGTAAGTGGTTCAGATGGCAAGGCATTGGCTTGGTAAGCAATGGGACCTGGGTTCGAACCCCAGGTCCCCCTACTTTGTTTCATATTTTTCTTCCTAACGTGGTTCTGTGTAGCTTGCTTCCTGGGGCCTACCATGCAGCCTCATATCTTGGCTTGCCACACGTCCCATAGCATCAGTCCAATGGTCCAGATCCAAAGCCTATGGAATGATTCAGTCAACGCATACGCACCTAATCACTAAAAAGTCAACAAGGCCAGGAATTCAATGGGCCTAATTGCTGGCCAGATACCTCCAAATTAGGGTCAACACCCCCCATTGGTTTGCATTAATTTTTCTTTCTTTTTTATCCTTTTCTATTTATTTGTTTTATTTCTTTTTTTAGTTTAATTCATAAAGTAATTTTTTCTTTAACATAAAAAATAATAAAAAAATCAGAAAGACAAAAATAAAAATATATTTTATTTAATGTTATTTTGTAAATAAATTGTATTAATTGATTTAGTTAATTCTAGGTTTAAATTTTAATATCTTTTGTAATAAACTAAAAATGTAGAATTAGGGTTTTATACTTTTATTCTTTTTTCTTTTTTCATCATATTAATTATTAATTATTATTTTTGTAAATAAGTTGCCATGTAAATAATTAGGTTAATGTTAGGTTTAACTTTAACATGTTTTTTTTTTTAATAAATTAAAAATAGTTAGAATTAGGTTTTAATTCCATTAATTCTCATTAAAATCCATAAATACAAAAAACTCAAAAATAACTCCTCTTTTCTCATTAAATTTAATTAATTTCATAATAGTAATTTAATTTCCTTAAAAGGGCCCAACGCCCTCGCATTCCCGACTTTACCTCTTCGCGCATTTTATTCTTATTTCCTCTTTTTGTGAATGTAATGTAACTCTCCCAAAGCTATGTAATAGATTAATAGGATATTTATATTTCTTGCACTTTATTTTTATTTTAAATCGGGTCTCGGATTAATTTGGCGATGTAGACCCGCGCCTTTGTAATAGCGTAGGACTTTTAATTCTTGCATCTTTTAACTGTTAATAATTTGCATGAAAGAATGAATGTCAAAATAAAAGCAACGCGTAGATCACCAATGCATGACAAGACAAAAATATCTGAAAACGACACACAAATCACACACCACCCCTAGGGTACGTCTCACTGTTGCCTTGCCCCTCGAAAGGTGGTCGTCGAGTAGAGGATGTTTTAGTAAGTCCTCATGTCCATGAACATGGCATGGGGGTAGCTTCTAAGGTTTCTTCCTATTGCTCCGGTGATCACCATGTCCCAAACCTTCGAATTGACCCGAACACCTCCAACGGTGGTGCTACCTACCTCTCAATGGTGGGATGACACTACTTTAAGGACATTTACACAGACGAATTCCTTAGGGTAGGTAGAGAACTCGTAGATACTTGCTCTAATTTCAAAACAAAATCAAAAACTCCTTTCACATCGACACTTTTCAAATAGCTTTCGAAAGCAACTTTTCAAACACTCTTGAGGACTGATACAAGAGTCGAACTGAAATTTTCAAAGAAACTTTTTAAACCCACAGTTGAAAAGCAAACAAACCATTTTGAAAACACAATGAACAAGTATCTAAGAGCCTATGGATAACCATGGATAGAAAGGGTTCTAACACATTCCCTTTCTATAAATCTACCTCCCGAACCGAGAGCAATCTCTATAAGGAATTTTTCTATGCTTTTGTCCTTTCCATTTGAAGAAAATAAAAGACGGTGGCGACTCTTGCTTCCGCGACATTTCGCGAACCAGCGTTAAACAGTCAGTTCCAGATCCACCGATCACAGCTTGCAAAGGTGGAAAAGGAAATTTATTACTTAAAAGTGAAATTACAAGTTACAGTTAAAGGTTTCATACAAGATTCCTTACAAATTGAAAAATTGAAAAAGGATATGAGGATTTAAATGTGAAGGGAATAGAATTTAGAACCAAATTTTGTTCATAAATGTTTCAAACTACAGTCAACTATCTAAATAGCTCTCTTTAAATGATACAAAAGAAAAAGAAACTTGGAACTCCTAAGGCCTAAATTTGTAACCCGTTCCTTGCTTTCCTTATCCAAACCTCAATGTTCACAAAAATCTTGCATCAAGATCATGTTGAGTTGCCTTTCTAAACTGTTCTCCTTAAAACATGTATAAATATCACCATTTAAGAAGGATAGGTCTGTATCATTATGCCAAAAAAATAAAAATGAGGCCAAATAGATTTTCACTACTCTAATCCAAACGGAAAACAAGCCTACATCAAGTTTACAAACAACAAGCAGAGGAAACCAGTTTATGATCAGGGGACCAGTTCATAATAGTTTTAAGGTGCATAGTAGTTCAATGAAAGAAAAGCTCAGCAGCCTCTGTATATAAACTACACACCTGAACGTCCCTCAAATCCTGCACAAAATTCAACTGAGTACAAGGATCCACTCTACTACTTCATGACCAAGCTGCAATTCAAGTTCGAACTAGCCCATACATTAACCATGACTCCTGCACCAAATGAAAATGGTTCAATATTAAGCCAAATCAATACTTCCTCAAAACATATTCAAGCTCAAATAAGCATCCCTGCACTCTTCTCAAAAACCATACCAGACCATGATAAACTACCCTGCACCCAAGTTATTGTCCAGAAATTTAAGTCGGACTGAAACTCACCTCTAAATCTTATAACCAAAGGCGCCAGCTCATCAATCTCCAAAAAAAAAAACAGAACTCTAACAGAATTTAATAACTGAATCTAAACTAACTTCTAACCGACTAACAACTAACATAATTGCTAACAACTTATAGAAAATTTCCAAACAGAATTTTCTAACAGTTTTTCAACCAACTTCCCAAATAGAATTGTAAAAACTCTGACCAACCACCTAACTGTTTCTAACTACCTACAATAAATCAAACAAACTCCAACTTCCAGATTTTTGCTAGCTCGTCAGAAAATTAGCACAACAAAGAGATTAACAGAATGATAGAGCTCATAACAGAAGTTACCTCTCATATTAGGATTGGATCTTCACCGTTCAGTGGCAACAAACTTTTTATCCAAAGGATCTCATACACTAATCTGTAACAAACTCTCTTCGGCTACATAACCTTCAATCTCTGGACGATTCAGGGGAATTGATTTTATAAAGAAATCTTCTTCCTCTCTGTCCTTTCTAGATCCTCTCATCTTCATCTTCAATCTTCTCTGCAGCTCCTCTTCAACCTTGAGTTCTCTCTCTCCCTCTGAATACTCCATTATGAACTATCTTCACTTTCTGGATCCTCTCATCTCACACCTCTTCAATCTTCATCTTCCTCGATCTTCATGCTCCACTTCATCACTCCACAACCTTCACTCAATCACTCTTATCACATAATTTCATCTTCAACTTAACCATTTTTCTCCACACCACCTTCTTCATCCCTCTTTGAATCCCACAACCTCCATCACCACCTTCATCAATTATTCAACCTTCCTCTCTTCAAATGAGCAACAACAACAATATCACTGTGTAACCGCGACATTAAATAACAACGGGAAACACGAAGAATGAAGTAACGACAAAAGAGTTCAGAAACAAAGAAGAAGAAAAGAAAAATAAAGATTAATAGATGCTTAGTATTATCTGTGAATTCTAGTTCCTCTGGCTTTCTCTCCATTTCCGTGGCACATTCGTTACAATGACGACCGAGGTGAATCTCCGTTCTGTAGGTAATTCGCATTTCCTTCATCTCGTAATTTCAAGATGTTACGAATTATGTTTCGTCCTGTCCAGTCCGCTATCGTCGTATATCCCAGAATTGGGAGCGAAATAAAGCGTAACATGTTGCTTCACTACGACTGAATCGAGATTGGGGGAAGATGATGAGAACAAGGTTGCATCGAAATTGTAAATTGACGAAGGAGAACTGAATCAGAAGCTAGGAGAAGGCAAAGTCGTGATAGAGGCACAATGTTGTTAAATCACGAACGAAGATCGAGACGGGTGATCTGTGTTGAACAATATCGTAGAATATCGACGCAAAAAAGGAGGTGGGATTTAGACTGAGCCATGGAATATGTGGCGGCATTGCGTCTAGAATTCTCCAGAGAAAAAGGTTGAGGCTGGCTGCGGCAGGATTTTGAGAGAGAGAGAGAGATAGAGAGAGAGAGAGGTAAAGGATTGGTGTTTCGTGAAGGAAGCTGAGTCGTCACATTTCTTGAACCCTAATCCTTTCTTAATTTCTTTTTTTCTTTATATTTTTTCTTTTAGTAAAAATCTGAAATATACAAAAGCTAGATAATGAATCGGGTCACAATTATCTTCCATAAGCCCATACCCTACGTTTTTAGTTTGAGGTGCAGTAGAATAAAAAAGGATGCCATTGGACCTTGGTGCAATGGGCCCTGCACCCATTTTACTACAGTACACCACTAGAATCCAGTTTAACACCCCCTGACTATTTTTATTTCCTATGTTTTTCTAGATTTTGTTTTGTGTTAGTTTAAATTCCCTTTTATAATAAAAATAGTAGTAAAATACATATAATAAAACAATAAAAAAATGTAGATTTTAGGAATGTCTCTTATTTTTTTAGGTAATAAACTACAAAGTCAATAAGAAATTTTAGGCTTTTTATTTGATTTTTAGGAAATTAATTCCTAATTTTTTTCCGATTACTTGAAACTTGTGATTGACCTTTGTATGTTGAGTTAAGTCTTATGCAGGTTTATTGTGTGATATGCGGACAAGTTGGAGTTTCCAATTGTGATTTATTTTCACATCAATGATGCTTCGACACCTATTCCAAATATTCGATCTCTGACTGTTTGTTTGTTGATACCAGACTGCGCGAAGTATATTGGGTTTCTTTTCTTTGGTTTCTCTTTTTGCGAACATTATTGTTCGTTTGGTATTATACTGCTTCTAATTCATTTTTCCGCGTTTTATTTCTTTCTAGATATCATTATAAGTAGGAAATAAAGAGCTTGCACTCGAAGTCGCTATTTAAAGACCTGTAGCAGGCATTCCACACTTCATTTTCTATATGTATCGTGCTTGTGTTTGTTTCCTTGGTTTTTGATCGATGAGTCACTCAATTTAGAAATTGAGATCACAATGTCGCTCTCAGTGCATGCTCCCTATAGGATTCTACCGCTTTCCTTTATTTCTTGTTGATCGATGAGTCACTCAATTTAGAAATTAAGATCACGAATTTGCTCTCATTGTATGTTCCCCGGAGGATAGTTTGTTAGAATTTCTTTGGCATGTTAACCTAGCTAAGATCTCTTTAGGTGTGCTCTCTTGAGCTTATTGGTTTGCTTGCTTGATTTTGTCTTTGTGTGCATGTTTTGAGATGATAGACCCTTGCTATCCTCCTTTAGGACTTCTTGATTCATCTATAGATGATGGGTTGAGATAGGCATTAGGACTGTTATCCAAGCATGTCAACTTAGGGTAGAGATTTCCCTTCAAAGCTCAACTTTAGGATCAATCAATGTATGATAACATTAGAGATAGATTTAGGTTAGTCTCCCTTTAGACTTTTCTTTCCCCTTTTGCATTTGCATTATAAAAAAAACTTCTTTTTCTTGCAAACTTCAAGATACTTAAAGATTACTGATGAGAGTCATACATTTGTTGAGCATGGGAAATGATAAGCGAGTTTCTTCTAGATCTTATTGTTATTCAATTATAAACCTTCGTGTGGTTCAAGTCTCAAAGACTTATTTCCTGAATAAGTAGATAAATGGCTAATATCTCTCTCTTGAGATTAACTAGCTATTATCTGCAACAAAATCACCAACCAACACAAACTCTTTTGTCTTTGGGCTTTTCCTTCAAAATTATTTCCAAAAAGGCATGTTAAGTCACTTATGTGCTGACGCGTAAGTCTCCAAAGGTCGAGTTGTGGAAGAAGGAGAAATTAGTATTATTCATTAAAAATAAATATAAACAAACAAAAACATTTGAAGCCGAACTACGACTGCTCTGATTCCTTAAAAGGGATACGTAGGAATTGGGGTAGTGCCCGAGCGAACACAACTTTTATTTTCCCTACATTATTTTATATTTTCTTTGCATTGATTCCCTCTTAGAATTTTATAGATCTTAAGCATTAGATTGAACACACCTTTTGATTAGAACAACTAGAGTGGATCCCGTAGAGTACTACAGACGTGTGGGGTGCTAATACCTTCCCCTCACACAATCGACTCCCTTACCCAATCTCTCGGTAACAAGACCTTGATTTACCCTTTAGGTTTTTCTTCGATAATTTTCCTTTCCATTTTTATGGGATAAATAAATACTCGGTGGCGACTTCATTGATTTTACCACTACAACCTGAAATTTGCATTTTATAACTCTGTTGTCATGGCAAAGGGCTATCTGTTGTTTCAGCATGGCTTCACAAAGAGCTGCTCCTCATTGGATTTCTTTGAATAGGTCGAGCTCTTCTCTTAGAGCCTCGTCATTCAGTTCCTCGTCTAAGGGGACTTTAATTATCCTGGGCAGCTCCATGATTTCCACAGGGATGATAGCTTCGGTACCATAGGTCAGTCGAAATGGAGTCTCTTCGGTCGTCGAGTGTGGTGTTGTTCGGTATGCCCATAGGACACTATGTAGTTCTTCGACCCACCCTCTACTGGATTCGCCCAACCTGCACTTGAGTCCTTGCAAGATGACTCTATTTGTGGCCTCGGCTTTCCCGTTAGTTTTGGGATGTTCTACTGAGGTAAATTCCTACTTGGTGCCGAGTTTGGCGACGAAGTCCTGGAAACCTTGATCGATGAACTGCGTTCCGTTATCGGTGACGAGCGCTTGTGGTATCCCAAATCGGGAAAGCACGTTTCGCTTGTAGAAATGAAGGGTGTTATGCAAAGTGATTCTGGCCAGAGCCTCAGCTTCTATCTATTTCGTGAAATAGCCAACGGTCACGATCATGAATTTGTTTTAATATGAACCTTGTATGAACAGTCTGAGGATGTCCATCCCCTACCAGGCGAATGGCCACATGAATGAGAGTGTTTTGAGTTCGTGTAGGGGTGCGAGGTGCATGTCGGCATGTCTCTGACATTTGTCGCACTTTTTGATGTGTTCCTTTGCGTCTTGCTGCATGGTGGACCAGTAATATCCTACTCGCAACGCCTTTTGCACTAGGGATATTCCTCCCAAGTGTTGGGCGTTGATTCCCTCGTGGATTTCCCGTAGTATCTATGGGATTATGGATTCCTCGATGCATTTTAGAAGCGGGATGGAGAATCCTCGTCGATAAAGCTTATGCTCGAGCACCGTGTATGAGCAGGCTCGTCGTTTGGTCATAGTCGCTTCTTTTTGGTCGACGGGCAATTCTCCTTTTGTCAGAAAGTTAAACAATGGGGTCATCTAACATGAATTGTTCCCAATGGAATTCACCTCAGATGGTGTAGTAGATTTTTGAATGCTCGAACGAGAAAGTGATTCTTGGATGACAGATTTGTTCCCACCTTTCTTCTTTGTGCTCGCGAGCTTCGAGAGTATGTCTACCCACGTATTCTGTTCGTGAGGTACATGTTTGATTTATGCCCGATCAAACCTTTTCATCTGTTCTCTGACTAGGTCCAGATATTCGCGAGACTGTAGTTCTTAACCTAATATCCTCCTTGTACTTGAGATGCGGCGAGTTTGGAGTCCGTGAATATTTATATTTTGTGGGCACCCATATCTCCAGCCAGCCTTAATCCTACGTTTAGGGCCTCATATTCGGCCTGGTTATTCGACGTGGGAAAGAGAGGGTGAGAGAGTGTTCGACTATGACGCCTTCTCCATTCTCGAGGAGGATTCTAGCACCGCTTCCCGTCGAGATGGAAGCTCCGTCTACAAAGATGGTCAACTTATTCCTTTTCCCTATGGGGGAATCGTGAGTGGTCATCTCAGCGACGAAGTCGGCCAGTGCTTGGGCTTTGAGGGCCTTCCTGCTATCGTATTTAACATCGAACTCTGAAAGCTCTAGGACCATTTCAGCATTTGACTGGCCATGTCTGGTCGGCCTAGGAGCTGTCTCACGGGTTGGTTTGTCTGTACGATGATCGTATGGGCCAGAAAGTAGTGTTTGAGTCTCCTTTCTGCGTTGATGAGGGATAAGGCCACTTTCTCAATCTGTTGATATATAACCTCAGGGCCTTGTAGCGCTTTGCTCATAAAATACACTGGCTTTTGTCCGTCTGAAGTGTCTTGAATCAGCGTTGCGCTTACGGCCTCGGTGGTGACGGACATGTATAAGAATAAAATTTCCCCACTCTATAGTCGTGATAGCACGAGCGATTGTGACAGGCTTCTCTTGAGGTGGAGGAGGGCTTGTTCACATTCCTTGGTCCACTCGAAAGATTCTTCTTTGCGCAGGAGCTTGAAAAATGGTAATGTGTGTTGTGCGGACTTCACCACGAAATGGGAGAGCGAAGTGAGCATACCGTTTAGGACTTGTGTGGATTTTTTCGAGCTAGGCGTGGGGAGCTCGGAAAATGCTCGACACTTGTCGGAGTTTTCTTCAATTCCTCATTTGGTCAGATAGAAGCCGAGGAATTTTCCCGCCTTAACCTCGAAGGTGCATTTCTCGGGATTGAATCTCATTTTGCATTGTATCGCTTGGGCGAAGACTTTTTTGAGATGGGTAAAATTTTCGATTTCTGCTCGAGATTTGACGATCATGTCGTCCATGTATACCTCGATCATATCTCTGATCTCGTCGCGAAAGACCTTGTTCATCATCCA